CTCCCGGCTGGTTCAGAGCCTGACGGGACGACGCGCGCGACCGACTCTTCAAATCATTGTTGAGAGCTCTCTCTGTCATGTGTCCCTCCTCATCCACGAGCACGATCGAACCTCGACTGAGAAGATCCGAGAGAGCCACGTTTCCCCGTGCGGGGTCTGCCTTAGTAAGGCAATCTGCCGCCATGCGGCCATGAGGGACCCATCTGATCTGAGAGCCTATAGCCGAGAGACTGTCGCGCACGACAGCGAGCTCAATCGCCGTTCTCCTGTCCTGACGGGAGCCCGCACTGTTGCGAGACAAAGTATCGAAAATCGATTTCGCGTCGACGACCGAAAGCGAGCTCACTCCCTCAGACAAGGTACAGCCCCTGCTCAGCACAACAGAGAAGGGCGCCTGCGAGAGGTGCCAGTCGGGCTTGCACACGTCATTGAAAAGCAAGTCTCGCCACATGATGGCGAGCCACTGGCCCTCGGCCAGCGCGGCACTCAAACTCAGAGTCTCTGCAGCCCCCGTGGAAGCGACCACGCGCTTCAACCTGACCGAACGCCAAGAAAGCAAGGACACCCGGGACCTCACATTTTGCCGAATCGACGCATCGGCAGCACACACGAGCCATCCTCCTTGGGCCCCGTTTCCACGAGCGGACCCGGGGCCACCAGCATCGGAAATAGTCACGAAATTCAGAGAAGCAGCGTCTAGAGGCCAGATCGTAATCTTTTGGCACGCCGAGCTCTTGAGATGCTTAACTATTTTCAAACACATGATGGCGTCAGCCACCGTGGGGCTCGGCAGCGCGGCACTCTGCAAAGAGGCTCCGGCGGCCACGTCCGGACGAGACTCCCTCCCCAGCCACTGTATCTGTGCCACCATCGTACGATAGTGGCGGATCTCCTCCGCGGTGAGAAGATCATCCGGCACAGCACGGCGCTCCTTAGCCAGACGCATGGGGGCAAGCTGCTCAACGACGTATTTTTCTTGGTCTACAAAAATACGAGACCCCACCTGCTTGAGGTGCCTCCCCGCAAAATCCGATTCCCCGATTTTCCACTTCCCGAATTTAAAACGGCCTTGGAGCCGCTCCCTCAAACCGGCCCTCTCCCCGGGGTGCGAAGACACTATAAGGTCGTCCACTTCTATGAGCACGATGGAGCGAGGTTCCCCCTGGCCCGACCGTTTCACCCACAAACAGGGCTCGAGAAGGGATTTCTCGAAGCCGTCCTCGGACAACCATTGCGTGAGCGTGCGGTGCCACAGCAATGGAGCGTCATTTAATCCATACACTGGCGCAATGAGCTCAATGAGCTCGCCTGGGGCGAGGTTCAGCCCCTGACAGGGCTCGCAGAACATCTGTCCACGTGGACGAGACAGTCTGTTGGACTGACAGAATGCATTCTTAGCATCTGCAACTTCCAAGGTCCAACCCAACGAGCAAATCGCTTGTAGAGTCAATATGATGCTTTCCCCTGGGGGGTGGGGGCGTAGACCTGTAACTGATCACTGTCGGGGCCATGGTGCCCCTGCACGCACCATCGAGATTTAGCGACAGCTCCAGACCCCAAACCCTCCTGTGTTTTAAAACGTCGGACCATCCGGGAACCCAGCACTCGATCAGGAAAACGCTTGCGCACTAAAGCCGCCTCGGCGGCAGGAACGATCCTCGCCGCTCCTGAATCTAAAATCGCTTGCCACTCCTTGGCATCTGGGAAAACGAAAAGGCGTCTCTCGGCCTCCGAGAGATGCTTGAGCGAAACCTCCGCTCCTCTCCGACTGGGAGGGGCCCCTTCCCCAGAACAACCCCCAGTCTCCGCGAAGGTTTCAGCTCCCCCAACCCAAAAGGACGGCCCCCAGCCATGCCACCCGCACAACTCAGCCCATAGGCTTTCATCCTGCTCTTCGTCGAACTCTGACTGCTCGTCTTCGCCGCCGCCCTCAAACCAGGAACCCAAGATCCTCTGATCTGGAGGCACATCTTCCAAGCCAGCATCTCGAATCGTCCGATCGGCGACCCTCGAGACCGGAGCACCATATCTGTCAAAAAGTGTGCCCGATCTCAGGGACTCATCCCTGGGCCCAAGAAGGCGAGGCTCGGGAGTTCGCGACCTCGCACGCCCTCCGGACTCCAGGACGGCGTCTGCGCCGTCACCAGCACCTAAGCTCGGCTGGCCAGGAGCGTCGGAGGAGGAAGAGGCAGCCGGGCGCAGATCGCCACGGCGAGTCGAAACTGGAGTGTCATCTAGAGCGCTGCGGCGCCGGATCGAAGGGTCGATCTCTCTCGCGAGCGCCAGCGCTCGCCCAGAAGCTGGCAGCTGCTCTGCCGGGGTCCGAGGCGCTGACTGGTGAGGGGGAGGCGGCTCCAGCCTTGGTCTCTGATGAGGACGAGGGGAGGGATCGACGCTTCCCGGATCCGTAATCTGACGAGAGACCGCGGGCGCGGGCACGGACCCCTGGATCGAAGAGGGAGGTTGGGCCGTCGAGGCCCTCTCGAGCGAAGAGGGGAGAGGAGGAGCAGGAGGGGCAGGAGGATCATCCTCTGGAACAACCACCGGCTCAGCCCCTCGAGCAGTGGGTGGGGCCACCACCGCAGCTGCGCCTTCCGAGCGTTCAGGGGGCGCCGCCACGTCCCAAGCACCTGGAGGAGGGGGCCCCTCGGACTCCACGTCAACCGCTCCCACCCGCTTACCTGGGCCCCTCAGGTCGCGCCTGAGGCTGTCGAAAGAGGGAGTCGAGAAGCTCGGCTCCCCACGACTCCTCCTTGGTGGCCCAACGAACCTGCTCGCTCCCACACTTCAAAAGACGCGAGCGCATCGCCACCCAAACCGTCGTTCCCTGCTGGAAAACCACGGCCCCGGGCCCAGTCCACCTGCTTTTGCCGACGTTGCCGTGAGGCTGAGAGGGGGCACGCCTCCACACGTAAACCCAACTCCCCGGGGAAAACACTGGATCCACATGCTTGCGAGCACGCGAGGCAGAAACGAGACGGTCCCGCACGTCCATGGTCATGACGGCCCGCCGGGCCTCCTCTCGCAAAGCATGCTTCCTCGCGAAAGCTGCCGACGGAGACTCCGCGTCAGTCGAGCCCCTCACCACCTCGTCGATCCCGACTTCGTCGTGAGCATCGCCCGACAAGAGGCAACGAGGGAGTCTGGGATTTTCCCCAAAAACCATTTGGTAAGGAGAGAACCCTCCCCTATGGGCAAAACGGTTCTTGGCCGCGACCACCTCGCAGAGAAGGTCCTCCACCTCTTCCAGAGTCGCTGGAGCAGTGCCTCCAGAAGCCTTAACCAGAGCAGCCTTCACGAGCCCCCCATGACGCTCGCAGCGCCCGTTCTGATGGGGTGACTCCGCGTCGCACACGTGTTGGAAAATTCCTTCCTGCTCCAGCCCCCGGGAGAAGGCTCCCTCGAACTCGGGTCCCCCGTCTGTCATGACGGTCTCAGGCAGACCGAGTGGCCTCACCCAACACCGCAAAAAAGCCCTCCACACTTCGGCGGCCAAAGCCGAGGGCAGGAGGACGCAAACCTGGAAGTTCGACCCGTGGTCGATCAAGTTGAGGACTGGCCTAGTCTCGCCGAGGGCACTTATATACAGAAGGTCCGCCGCGACCAATTTATTGAACCGATAGGTTCGCGGCAGACACGAGCGCCGGCGCCAGCCGTGCCGAGAGGCCGACTGACATCCAGGGCACACGAAATGCTTGCTGACCCAGTTGATGACCTCAGGCTTTGCTTGAGCGACCTTTAGCGTCCTGATCAGATGCTCTCGCCGGGGGTGTCCCAAATTCACGTGTAACTTGTGGACCTCGTCCTGGAGTTCCCGTGGAATTCCAACCGAACCTGAGGCGTCGGATTTCTCGGCCCCCTCAGGGCCCGGACGCTCGGGCCCCCCCTCCTCCTCGGAGTCGCTGATTTCTCCGCCGTCAACCGGGTGGGGGTCTGCCCCTGGGGCAGCGGCGGCCGGAAACGAGAGGGCCCCCGGCTCGCTAGCTGACAGAACGGCAAAACCTGTCCGCTCAACGCCCTCAATCAGCGCGTCCACCAGACGCTCAGGATACCGATCAGCTGCTGATGTCCTGGCCCCGCCCACCAATTGCGAGTGCTCATGCTGCCCCGTGCACCTCCTGCGACACACGGCGAGAAGCTCCGGACTGTTCGAGATGAAGCTCGTGGGTTTCATGGCCAGACCCCCGTCGAGGGTCCTGAGCCCGAACTCACACTGGTCTCCCCGAACCACCTGGACCCCGGGCTGGCTCAGAAGCTCCTTCGTCGAGCTCAGCTGCTGAGAGAAGGCCCCGCACGGATTCTCAATCCAGAAAGACCGTCCCTTGGACAGCTGAAACATCGCCAGCTGCATGCACAGACCCCACATCATCAGACACTCTTGCTCGACTCGATCTCTATCGTGCTTCGGCATGGTGTCCCAGTTAGGGACCCTGGCGACACTCATACCCTTACAAGGAGGGCTCATCAGGAGGACCTCGGGCCCGTCCTTCTCCATGACTTCCCAGAGCTTGGCCCTCTGACTCGCCTGGCGAAGATCCCAACCTGTCCTAAGATCGATAGCGTGGGAGGCCTGATAGCCCCTACGAACCATTTCCACTGAGACTCGAGGGGTCGAGAAAAGCTCCAAAAGCAGGGTCCTCTGTTCTCGTCGAAGATGGCGTATGAGGTCCTTCCTTAGCTTCTTGCGACCGGCTCGGATTCCTACCCCGTCGAACATTCTAAGGGCGTCTTGGCGCACATGACGGGGAACTGCTGCTTCGGGCGCTTCTCGACGCTTGCTAAGGAGCGGGCTCTTGTCCAAGACGACCCAAGAGCTAGGGATCTGGGAAGCTAAGTCCGACGACGAGCAACGAGGAGACCAAACAGTAAACCTTGGCTGATCGGCGCTGCATCCGTCTAAGGCCTCTTGGAGCCCTGACGCTGAGGCCCCGGCCCACAGCACGTCCACCACGTCCCGAGCCCGGTCCGTCGCCGTCACTCTCAAACGCCTAACCCCCGACCTAGGACACTCCATCGCACGGCTGTCCGCGGCTCGAAGAGCGAGGTAGACCAACCACTGGGCCTTCTCGCTCGGGCCGAGGTCCTCGGCCTGCCACTGCGCCTCGTCCGAGAGCCTCTCCAGAGAGACATGCCCCCCCGTGTCAGCATCCCAGACCCAGCGAGCCTCCAAGCCCGACCTGACCCTCAGATGCTCGCGGCGCCCCCCAGAGTCCCAGACTGAAAAGCTTTTGGCGGCCCAGCCGCTCGGATCGGTCCCCGGGTGCAGAATCTGGCGAAGCCTCTCCTGAGTTTCCTGAGAGGCTGACGAAACTTCCCAAATCGTGGAACGACTGAACTTCTTTTTATCCAAAGCTCTGCTCGAGCCCGGGTCAGACCTGGCGTCCGTGGAGCCTGCCATCGCGCGCGCAGACTCGGCCTCGATCTTCGTCGAAGCCTCGAATATGGAGGACCCGGCGTCAGCAGAATCAGGAGCCTGTGGCGGCTCACTCGCCACCAGGTCGCCGTCCAGCTTGTCCTGAGCCAGGCAGCTGCTCACGAGAGGCGCCTCGGGCCGTACTCGTCGTCCAGCGTCTCCATGGGCGCTGGCTCGATCGGAGGCCCCTCCGATCCCGAAGCCGACGATCCGCCCGAACGAACATTCGCCGTCAAGACCTTCATCAGCTGCTCGAACTGCTCCCTCGTCGCCTGCGACTCCTGCCTCTGTGCGAACATGTACTCCAGAATCTCCTTGCGGTTGGACTCTTGGTTCTGCAAGAGCGCCTCCATCAGGTGACTCTCGACCGTCGGGTTCTGGTTCCTCAGCGTTCCGCTCTGGCCCTGGGCACGCGTCAGGTGCGCGACCCCAGAGGACTTGCGTGCCGTCGGAGGTGCCTTCGTCGCGGCCGGCCCCTCGAGGTCGATCGCCACGTAGCCCGGCGGCGGCCCCTTCCAAGAGAGGTGGTTCGGCACTCCTGGATGCCCCTCGCTGCGGGGAAACACCGGGCACGCAGAGCTGATGGGCACAGCCCCGCGGTAAGTCGGCTGATGAGGTGGAACCTCCTGGGCACCCGGCTCGTCGAGAGTCTCCTGCTTCACGTGCTCCTGCTTCGCGTGGTAGGCCTCCGCCGCCTCCCTGATCATGTCCTGCTCGTTCTTGGCCTTCCGTGACTTCTCGGTCTTCTCGCACTCCTTCTTGATCTTGGCCTCGAGCTTCTCTTCGACCGTCTTGGAGTGACACGAAAGACGCTTGTTGCACAGCTGGCAGACGATCCAGGCCGCATGCTGGTTGGCCCGGCGCTTGCGGTGCTCAAGGGGGCGCGGGCAGATCTCGGTCGCGAAGATCTTCCTGCTGGCCATCGCCGGCATCGCCGAGGGGGGGAGCACGGAGATCAGCCTCGACTGAGCGCACGAGGTCAGTACTGCCAGCAGCTTCAGCGCGAAGCGGCGCCAGCCCGTCTCCGCGGGCGTGAACATAAACCCGCCCTCGTTGACCAGACCCTTCTCGACCTCGCTGAGCTCCACCTCCGAGTAGTCGATCTGCTGCAGCTGCGTGTCTTTCCAGGGATCCGGCGTGACGCCCCAGTTCTCCTCGATCTCGCTCTCGGCCGGCTCCTCGTAGTGCGTCGGTAGAGCGAGCCCGCCTGCGTTCCTGATCGGGGCGCGCGTGCGCCCCAGCAGGTTCCCCACTGACCTCGAACCCGGCTTGGCGCCCTTCTTGACAACCTGCACCGGCATGGCTACCCGCCGGCTGCGAGCTGGGAGGCGATACGTGGACGAAAGAATCGGCCGAGCTCGAGCCGAGAGGGGCTACGGAGGAGAGGGGGTCTCGAGACCCCTCGTCAGTCCCTGACTTCAGTCCCGTTGCGATCGATCCCGACTCGAACGACGACTCGGACGACGAGAGAGGAGGAGGAGACTGCTGGCATGCAGGCGGCCCCGGCCCGCCCCTACTGTCCTGCGCAGGCGGCACCGTCACCTGAAACTCCACGTGCCCGACCCAGTAGTCCGGCATGAGCTTCGCATCGTCCTCGAGGTCGGATACCGAGCCCTCGAAAATGTGCTCGACGTAGATCCCGTCGGGATTCTTGAACCTGCAAGTCGTGACCACCTCGTCTTCCAGAAAGCTCGACGGAACGGGAGACTCACTCAGATCCTTCTTCACTGGCATGGCACGCCGGGGCTTGGTGAACACCAGCCTCAGCTTGTTGCCGCCCCGCCCCCACCTGTCTGAGCCGCTCGACACGCTCATGGCCCAGGCGCTCTCCGAGCCGATCCGAAAAGACGGAAACTCCTGGGCCAGATCAGGGTCGAGAACGAAATCCGACGGGGACTTGCCGATCAGACCGATCGTGCGGTGGCCTGATGGGAGCTTCGTCATATCCAGCGCGGTGGTGTCGTCCGTTCCCACCGTCATCTGGTTGGCCGCTAGGTCGATCTTGGCCGACATGAAGTCCAGGAACCCTGCTGGCAACAAGGGAGGACAAGGATGCGGCAACACGAGAAATTCCAAGACCCCACAGC